GCGGCACAGAGTGCGAGAGCAGTCGGTCAGTCTGTGTGATGTACGGAGAGGAGAGACGGTGAGACATGCGCTACCTACTTTCGGGAGACAACGACGCACGCGCCGCTCTAGGGAAAGCGGTGCCATTCACCGCCCTGACCCTTTTTTTGGCCGTTTGTTGCTCCCTTCGCGCGCGCTCTTACTCTCATCCCATTTCTCCTCGGCTCTCGCGTACACACACGACTTGGATACACAAACACGCTCCCCCTCTTAATTCGCGCAGCATTCCCTGGGCGCGCGTTCGCCAACGTTTTACACGCTTGTGCGCTTCTCTTTCTCATTATTATTTCGGTGTGTCATTTCAGACGACGCAAGGATTTGCGCCGCGGCTGGTCGGCGCGGCACAGACACCTCGGGCGAACGTCCAACGATCGCTCGTACGCCCATTGTAAGCGTTGCACAGGGCACAGGCGACGCGCGCGCCATTCTCTGGTCGCCCGCGTCGTGGCCGTGCGCGCTTTTCGGGCGCAAGTAGTTTAGGGGTACTAAAACGACTCTCAGCCAGGCGTGGTCCGGGAATTGTATCCGTGGACCGCAATGTGCGTTCGAAATGTCGATGTTCATGTGTCCTGCAGTTCACAAGTTGTGCGAGAACCTTCGATTTGTTTTAATTTTCCGCGCAGAGGCAAATTTATTTATTTATAAGTCGGCTCGTAGATACGAAGGAGACTGGATGCGGAGAAAATTGTAAATGTGGAGAAATTCACTTTTGAGGCAAAGCAGTTTTATTCAAAACTCTCGCAGACAAGATTAAAACGCGGAAGTTCGCTCTAGAACGAAATAAATTCGCGCGATGCTCTTTTCGCTGATATACACGGAGACGTCTCTTCAGTTCAGACTCCTCGAGTAGACTCATTTTTGATCCTCGCGGAATTCGGCAGCTAAGGCTCATCCGATCGACGCGTGGCACACGTGCTGAAATCCTATTCGCGGACGATTGCCCCATCACGCTCCGAAACGCAAGACAAAGGCGAGTTTTTGTAGATTCCTCGCTCGCGGAATCGAAAACAACCGGAATAACATCTCGGCGTCGAATATTTTCAATTTCTACGATTAACCTTGCTTCGTCGCTCCGAAAATACGTGACAATTTTAAACATACCGCCCGCCTCGCATTTGAACGTATGCGAATATGCGAAATATAGCCAACGGTAGTCTTCAACGTACGATGAAGACAATAAATCAATTTTCAATCAACCAAGAAATCAAACAAGAGATCAATGCAATAATTCCTTGCGATCGAATAACGAGGGCAAGTAATCAGAAGGTGAAAAAACCTTTTACAATTTTCGAGTAAATATTTCTAAATTATAAAGACGCTCTCAATTTTCAATAGGCACTGAGCCTTAGCAAATATTCGCCTCTTTCGGCTGTTCGAGCACGCAAATACAATTATACATGTTTCGAAATTCTACCGACAATGCGATGGGTCGAATAACAAAGTCATAAATGCGATACCTGGCTCGAAAACCACGCCGAAGAGGAGAATATTGCCTAACATAGTAGATTTTTAACGTATAAGACGGGCAACAAGAGCCAAATCGCGGATGACAATGCGTTATCCTAACGAAACTAAATAATTTTCCGTTAGAATTAAATACCGGTGCACAAGGCACCAAATTTTACTTGGACACGGCCAAGATTTTAAATATGAAATAATCTCATATTTGAGATTTAATTTCAATACCCCCTTTAACCCCCCTACGGAAAATAAATAAATGAATGCAAGAGAAAAATATAGATCCGAAAATCGCTGAATCGGGAATCGAACCCGAGACCTTTCGCTTGCCGGGCGACTGCTCTTCCAGCTGAGCTATTCAGATCCTTTCGATTCTATACTTTTCTCTGTTATATATATTAATGTTGGTAAACAAACGCATTTTTTAAGCCAGCGTGTATCAAATATAAGAGTTTTAACAAGGCTCTGTAATATAAATATAAATTTAACGTATAAGACGGGCAACAAGAGCCAAATCGCGGATGACAATGCGTTATCCTAACGAAACTAAATAATTTTCCGTTAGAATTAAATACCGGTGCACAAGGCACCACATTTTACTTGGACACGGCCAAGATTTTAAATATGAAATAATCTCATATTTGAGATTTAATTTCAATACCCCCTTTAACCCCCCTTCGGAAAATATATAAATGAATGCAAGAGAAAAATATAGATCCGAAAATCGCTGAATCGGGAATCGAACCCGAGACCTTTCGCTTGCCGGGCGACTGCTCTTCCAGCTGAGCTATTCAGATCCTTTCGATTCTATACTTTTCTCTGTTATATATATTAATGTTGGTAAACAAACGCATTTTTTAAGCCAGTTATTTTCCGTAGGGGAGTTAAAGGGGGTATTGAAATTAAATCTCAAATATGAGATTATTTTATATTTTAAAATCTTGGCCGTGTCCAAGTAAAATTTGGTGCCTTGTGCACCGGTATTTAATTCTAACGGAAAATTATTTAGTTTCGTTAGGATAACGCATTGTCATCCGCGATTTGGCTCTTGTTGCCCGTCTTATACGTTAAATTTATATTTATATTACAGAGCCTTGTTAAAACTCTTATAAATTAGTTTATTCACTTTCTACAAGTTCGTCGCGTACCGAGACTTATGTTTCTCGGCGCTCGCTCTCTCGAGGACTGACTCGAGGGCTGCGCGAATTTCGGAGCTCGCGTAGGGCGGCAGCCGATCGGGGTCCTCGATTGGACCATCAGAAAATCAGGCGATGTACACACGCCAATTAGCGGCGAGTGTACACGTTGGTTTCACGTGTTTCCTTGGCGTAAACACTAAGGAATTTAACAAAAAAACATTCTAGAAAATTCGATCGTCCTCGAGGATTCGATCCGAAGAACGAATCTTCAACAATGTGGAAAGAATTTTATTAGAATTTCTCTACTATTTATTATATTAAAAATAATAATATGTATCACAAGAAAATATAAAATATGTTTGATTAATTTTACTATACAGTTTAGTAAAATTAATCACACATATTTCATATTTTATTGTGATAGATATTATTTTTAATGTGATAAATATTAATCAGAGAAATTTTAATAAAATTCTTTTCATACCGTATTGTCTCACAATTACCATAACTTTTAGGGTAAATTTTAAGAGAAAATTCTCTCAGTGTACCGATTAATTATTAAAAATTACTTGTAAAAAGGCACACGTTACTCGATGCGGACGACAATTGTTTACACGGCAAGGACACGACAACAGACTGCGGCGACGGATGACGCAACGCGTCGCGACGCTTCGCGACACGTCTAGACGATAACAATCACGCGGCGTTGCCGAACATGTGATTGACGCGAGACATGTATTAAAACGTATAATAATTATGTTATTAAAAAAGGCATATTATAACGTATTATAATTTTTTACGTTATAATACATTTTTTTTAATGACTTAACATTATCCGCCCGTTTTGCCCTTTCTTTTTAAGCGAGACGTGAGAAAAATGATTATGTTTTGCGAACAAGATGTTCCATGTATAAATGTATTGGTCGCTCTTTTCAGAGCGGATTGACTTTGGTCGCTCTGAAAAGAGCGGATTGACTTTGGTCGCTCTGAAAAGAGCGGATTAATTTATAATAGGTGCTCAAAATGACCACCATCCATCCTTATGCAAGCTCGCATGCGTTTAAATAAATTTAATTGGACGTTCTCCATTACTTCCTCTTCGATATTCCAAATTACATATCGCAATCTGGTTTCTAAGTCGTCGACGTTCTCGGGAAGCGTTTTGTATATTGATTCCTTACAGTATCCCCATAAAAAGAAATCAAGAGAATTAAGGTCCGGGGATCTTGCGGGCCAACGTATCGGGCCATACCGACCCATCCAACGTCCAGGAAACTGCTTGTGCGCGACGGAAAGATGGATAGGACGTGGTCGGAAGCGAGACCGAGAAATAGACACAACACTCGACACACGCGTAACGTTCACAAAAAAAATATATTTATATAAACTATTAACAAAAATTACAATTAATATACCGCACCGAATTTACCGAGAGAATTAGCCGAGTCTTAAATTACTAAGTGTCCGCAAGCAACGGTAATGAATTAGACAAAGACAAGCAATCTTTATCGTATGAACACACTTTATTCGCGATGAGCAATCGGTAAAAGCGCCGCGGTCGCGAGAGAGGAGGCTTATATACGCCTTGTAATTCTAGAATATTCGAGTACATTTGCTGTCGTTCTATTGTGATATTAAGGGCGAAGGAACGTTTACTGTAATTATTTACTTGTTTTTCTCTCCTCTCGCGCGACAGCGGTGTTTACAATTTAGACTGTTTTAAGCGCTTATTTTCGAAGGCGCGGAGTATCCGTATACTCTCGCGGCCGAGCGCTAATTTAAATATAATTTAAAATACGCATGTTAGACCACGATATTAATTAATAAATTATATGCATGCTGCATGAGGCATGATCGAGATGCATGAATATTTTAACGCTTTTTTGTCCGCGGGTTATTACCGTTCGAATCTCGAACATTTCGCCCGCCTTGCAGTAATATACCTGCAATCGTGTTCTCAGCGCGAGAGTGGGGCACGAGCCTATTCACGCGCTCGTGCGTGACGGACACGTGGAGCGCACGTGCTCCGATTGATTTAGAGAACGGAATGCTGAATCGATCAGCTGTTTATACTGGGAGTCAGTATAGACGCGTATAGGTTAAGCTTTGCGTAGACCGTATGCTGGCGATGTGCAAGTGACTGTGAGTGTGAAGTACAATTGTGAGGAGAATAATGAAAATTTAGTGAAAAAAAATAAATGAATGTGAATATGGAATAGAGAAAAGTGTAAATTTTTTAAACGCGGACGACGCGTGATTGCGATTCGAGTGAGTCTTCGGAGCCGTCGGTCAGAAAGACTAACTTGTTCACGGGACGCGTCAAATTTGTGGTCGAGGTGCGGACGTCGACTACGCGAACGTTACCGTCGGAACCTGGATGCAGTCGTGTAATGCGCGCAAGCGGCCACCGTGTTGGTGGTGTTATTTCGTTTCGCACGAGGCAGATTCGACCGACGCGAGCCTCCTGATTAATTCGGGACCATTTCGGCCGATGGGCCAGCGTGTGTAAGTATTCGCTGACCCACCGAGACCAGAAATGGTCCTTCATGTTTTGCAGGAGCTGCCACCGTGAGAGACGTGCCGACGGCTCTCGTTCGAGCGACGGTTCGGGGATCGCCGAGAGAGCGGAGCCGACCAGGAAGTGACCAGGTGTGAGTGCGGCTACATCCTCCGGATCGTCAGACAACGGCTGCAGCGGTCTGGAATTGAGGCAGGCCTCAATTTGGGCTAGGAGAGTAGTCATCTCCTCGTAGGTGAGGGTGGCGTCACCGATGACTCGCCGAAGGTGGTGCTTCATCGCTTTCACGGCAGCTTCCCATAAACCGCCGAAGTTAGGTGCAGCTGGCGGGTTGAACCGCCACCGGATTCTTTCCTGGGCGGCGAAGGTTGCGATGCGATGTCCGTCGGCACTGGCGGCGGAAAATAGTTGCCTAAGCTGCTTATCGGCACCCACGAAGTTGGTGCCGCAGTCGCTATATAGCGAGTGGCAGACTCCTCGCCTGGCGACGAACCGACGCAAGGCGGCAAGGAAGGCGTCAGCGGTGTAGTCCGAGGCCGCGTCGAGGTGGACTGCTCGGGAAGCTAAACAAATAAAGACAACAATAAAACCTTTTGTCGCCTTGAGTCCGCGGCCCCCTGCTGTTCGCATCCAAATCGGTCCGGCGTAGTCTACGCCGGTATGCAGAAACGGCCGGCCTGGAGTAACTCGTGGTGCCGGGAGGTCCCCCATCAGTGGCTGAGGGATGGCAGCCCGCCATCTGGTGCACCTTAGACACCGGCTGATGCGGCTCTTCACTAGAGCGCGACCTCGAGGGACCCAATACTCCTGGCGAAGAGAGCACAAGGTCAACAGGGTGCCGCCGTGCAGCGTCCGCTTGTGGTAGTCGTCGATGATGAGGCAAGTAAAATTAGATCTGCTTGGTAGTATGGTTGGATGCGTGGCATCATACTGCAGTGCAGCGTGTTTAAGGCGCCCGCCGACGCGTAGGAGTCCCTCACTGTCCAGAAAAGGACTTAGCTTCAGTAGGGAGCTTCGAGTCGGCAGAGGCTTTCCATTCTTCAGGTGTCTCAGTTCTTCTTTGTATGTTTCAGCCTGGATGATTTTTAACCAGGAGATCCGGGAGTCCTCGATCTCGTCGGCGCTGTTCAAGCCGGGCTGGCCATGCGCGAGGTGGTCCTGACGATGGATCCGCAGCCAGCGACGGCACCACGCAGTGATCCGGAGCAGGCGTTGTAGCGACGAGTATCGAAGAAGCATCTCCGGCTCAGTCCTTTGTTCGGCGATGGCGGCGACGTGGGCGCGGACGCGCCTCTCTGGGAGGTCATCCTCTGGTGGCTCCTCGCAGTTGATCGTCCACGGTTGGCTCTCGGAGGACAGCCACGACGGACCTTGCCACCATAGTGAATGGTCCACAAGCTCGCTGGGGTAGAGTCCTCGTGACGCGCAGTCCGCGGGATTCTCTCGGCCGGGGACGTGGTGCCAGTGGGCGTCCGGAGTCAGCGTCTGGATCTCACTCACCCGATTAGCGACGTAAGTGACCCAGGACGAAGGGTGGCCCCGGATCCAGCCGAGAGTCACGGTGGAATCCGACCACAGATGGAGAGGCGCCTTTTCTGCGCCAATAAGAGGCACGACGTGGGCGACCAATCGAGCTTGGTCTTCGCAGCTAATAAAGTCACTCTCCTAACTCCGTTTGTGTTTGTTCGCAGGTAGATGACTGCGGCGTAGGCACGTTCGGAGGCATCGGCAAATCCGTGAACCTCTTGATGGGAGTCAGCTAGGGCTCCTAACCAACAAGGCACGACTAGTTTCTCCAATGCCGCTAGCTCCTCCTGGAATCGCAGCCATTTTCTGGCTTCCTCGCTTGGCAGAGACGCGTCCCAGTCGAGACCTAGTAGCCAGGTAGCCTGGATGTTGATTTTGGCCAGCACAGTCGTTGGAGACAGCCAGCCGAGTGGATCGAATAATTTGGCCGTCAAAGAAAGGACCGACCTTTTGGTGACCGCTGAGAGAGTGATCCGGTGGGTGGCGAAGGCGAAGCGGTCGTCGCACGGTTGCCATCGAAGGCCGAGAGTGGAATGACTCTCGCCGGGCAGCCACCATCTGGCCTCTTGTTGCAGGCGCGCGTCCGGTTCCACGAGGCTCAGCAGGTAGGAGGCGTTTGTAGACCACTTTTTTAGTGTGAACCCGCCCGCCGTGCATATATTTGTCAGCTGCCTCACCATAGATTCTGCTTCCTCTTGATTCTCGGCACCGGACAGGATGTCATCCATGTAGACATCGCTCCGCAGGATGTCGGCGCCTTTCGGAAAGCGATGCTCTTCGTCCTCGGCGAGTTGGCGTAAGGTACGGATGGCCAGATACGGGGCGCATGAGAGCCCGTAAGTGACCGTGCATAGCCAGAACTCCTGGACGTCGTTCTTAGAGTCGTCTCTCCACAGGATTCGCTGCAGGCTTCGATCGTCCGGATGCACTAGGATCTGCCGATACATCTTTTCGATATCGGCAGCGAAGACGTATCTGTGGCGTCGCCAACGCAGCAGGATGTCAGCCAGCGCAGGAAGCAGATTCGGTCCAGTCAGAAGAAATTGGTTGAGAGAGTCCCCGTTCGGCAAGGAGCTCGAGCCGTTGAACACGACCCTCAGCTTAGTGGAAGTGCTGTCCGGACGCAGGACCCCGTGATGCGGCAGGTAACAGGTACCTCGTTGTGGCTCAGCTGGCGCTGGTGCAAGCATCATATGTCGCAGTTCCTTGTACTTTTGCATGAACTCTACGTACATGTCCTTAAAGTCGGCATCTTTCTCTAACCTTTTCTCCGTCTGTTGCAGAGCACGACTGGCGGCGCGACGAGTCCCAGACAGATCCGGGAGAGGCTCGATCGTTGGCAGCCGCACTATGTACCTGCCGTCAGGAGAGCGCGAGTGATGACGGCGGTAGTGCTCCTCGCACTCTAGTTCCGCCTTGGTGAGGGTCGGAGATGGCCGGTGGACTTCCTCCTGCTCCCAGAACCGCCGCACCAAGCAGGTGATGTCCTCCTCGATTTGGCAGTGATGAGCGGAGATGTGTTGGCTGGGCGCCGTCGAGCTAACTGTACCTGAGAGAATCCAGCCCAACGAGGTTTGTTGAGCTACTGGATCCTTAGAACCTCCTTTTCGTAGACCCTGACGGATGATGGTCCCATATACGTCGGCTCCCAGTAGGATGTCGACGGGGTCCGAGGAGCAGAATTCCGGATCGGCGAGCTCCAGGTCCTCCAGATGGGTCCAGGTTCGTCTACTGCTGCGGCATCCTCCGGAAAACAGCGTCAACTTCGGCAGCACTAAAGCGTTGACGAAGGTGGGCGATTCCCCTCTGCGCGACTGCAGGGTGAGTCTCATTTTCCCCTTTGTCACTCCGGTCCTTTTCTCTCCGACTCCATAGACACTAACGGCGGCTGCTCTTCTAGGGAGTCGTAAGCGCTGCGCTAATCGCTCCGAAATGATGGAGGATTCGGAGCCCTGGTCGATCAGAGCGCGAGCGGACTGCCAGCTTCCGTGGCAGTCGAGGACGCGGACCCTAGCCGTAGCGAGCAGCACCGTTGCGGAGGAAGAGTCTGCGCCTTGAGCCACGTGAAACGTCGTGGCGGCCTCGGCTTCCCGGAATGCATCGTGAAGCGAGGAGTGATGTCGACTGCCACACGCTGTACACGTCTTCTTCGAAGAGCACTCGGAAGATTGATGCCGGCCAAGGCAGTTTGAGCAGAGCTTATGCTCACGGACGAGCTGCTTACGCGCCATCGCCGTCTTATCCTTATAGTCGCCGCAGAACATAACAAAGTGGTCCCCCTGGCAGATGGAGCACCGGCTTCTGGACTTCTCTTTTGGATCTTGGCCTTTGACGTGGTGGCTCCTCGTTGATTTCGTAGTGCTGGAGCTGCTGCTGTCGTTCCTGGCCGGAAACAGCGCCTCCAACGTATGGAGCCGACGTTCTATGAAGGCCTCAAGCGAGGCGTAGCTTGGCGGACTCGTGGTGTGACTTATATCACTCTCCCATTCTCGCCTAGAGCGGCTGTCGAGGAGCTCTACGACGAGGTGGACGAAGAGATCCTCCGTGCGGTCTATCGGTCGGTCTATGCTCTTCAGGGAGCTGACAGTTGTTTTTACTCCATGGAAAAGCCTCCTCAATTCAGCGGCGGATTCGCTTTTCATCTTGGTCAACGCTAAGAAATTATTCAGATAATTACGAGTCAGCAATCTTTTGTTCTCGTAATAATCGCTTAGAGTTTTCCAGGCGATTTCATAGTTGTCTTCTGTGGTGCTGAGGTTACGAATCAGCAGATCGGCGTCACCCTTCACACAAAGTTTTAAGTAGTGTAACTTCTCCACAGGTTTTGCTGCCTGATTCCGGCCGATGAGGGATTGGAACAGATCCCGGAATGAAGGCCAATCCTCGTATTTCCCGGCGAAGGTAGGCGGTTGGATTTTTGGCAGCGCTGTCCGAGGAGCGGGACTAGTTGTCGCGGCCGCGGTAGAGCTGGCTGCCTGTAGCTGCAGCTGGAGAGCGCTCTTCAGATCGAGCATGAGGTCCTTGTTTAGCAGGTAAGCTTCCTCGCCTGAGGACGGGATGTCCTGTTTAGCGTAGACCTCATGCTTTATTTCGTCAACCCGATCGGCTAACGTATCATTAAGAGCGTCGAATTTATCCCATAGCTTCTCGAGATTTTGAAGCCGGGCCTCCACCGCGCCGAGGGTCATATTGGCCTCGCCGAGCTTCCGCAGGTTCTCGAACGCGCGCGAGATCTTGCCGTACAGCACCGTGGCGGTGGCAATGATCGCCTTCGTGTCTGTCATTTCTAACAATGTTTCTCTGTTCCAGAAGCACTGGTCACCGACACTCAATCACAATCGCTTCCGTGGCACCGGATTCACAGGAGGTTCCGGAGGAATCCGGCTCGAAGGACCAAAAAATGTGCGCGACGGAAAGATGGATAGGACGTGGTCGGAAGCGAGACCGAGAAATAGACACAACACTCGACACACGCGTAACGTTCACAAAAAAAATATATTTATATAAACTATTAACAAAAATTACAATTAATATACCGCACCGAATTTACCGAGAGAATTAGCCGAGTTGTAAATTACTAAGTGTCCGCAAGCAACGGTAATGAATTAGACAAAGACAAGCAATCTTTATCGTATGAACACACTTTATTCGCGATGAGCAATCGGAAAAAGCGCCGCGGTCGCGAGAGAGGAGGCTTATATACGCCTTGTAATTCTAGAATATTCGAGTACATTTGCTGTCGTTCTATTGTGATATTAAGGGTGAAGGAACGTTTACTGTAATTATTTACTTGTTTTTCTCTCCTCTCGCGCGACAGCGGTGTTTACAATTTAGACTGTTTTAAGCGCTTATTTTCGAAGGCGCGGAGTATCCGTATACTCTCGCGGCCGAGCGCTAATTTAAATATAATTTAAAATACGCATGTTAGACCACGATATTAATTAATAAATTATATGCATGCTGCATGAGGCATGATCGAGATGCATGAATATTTTAACGCTTTCTTGTCCGCGGGTTATTACCGTTCGAATCTCGAACACTGCTCGTTCAAGTAGTTTGTTACAATCCTGGCGTTGTGTGGTCAAGCACCGTCTTGTTGAAAGAACATTTTATTTCTTTCAAATAGTGGCACTTCTTCTAAAAAATCGGGCAGATTTTCTTTCAAAAGTTCCGCGATACCATAGGGTACGCCTATTTAGCAGGCTAGAGTCTCGTTCGTTATCGGAATTAACCAGACAAATCGCTCCACCAACTAAGAACGGCCATGCACCACCACCCACCGAATCAAGAAAGAGCTATCAATCTGTCAATCCTTCCGGTGTCTGGGCCTGGTGAGGTTTCCCGTGTTGAGTCAAATTAAGCCGCAGGCTCCACTCCTGGTGGTGCCCTTCCGTCAATTCCTTTAAGTTTCAGCTTTGCAACCATATTTCCCCCGGAACCCAAAAGCTTTGGTTTCCCGGAAGCTGCCCGCCGAGTCATCGGAGGAACTTCGGCGGATCGCTAGCTGGCATCGTTTATGGTTAGAACTAGGGCGGTATCTGATCGCCTTCGAACCTCTAACTTTCGTTCTTGATTAATGAAAACATTTTTGGCAAATGCTTTCGCTTCTGTCCGTCTTGCGACGATCCAAGAATTTCACCTCTAACGTCGCAATACGAATGCCCCCATCTGTCCCTATTAATCATTACCTCGGGGTTCCGAAAACCAACAAAATAGAACCGAGGTCCTATTCCATTATTCCATGCACGCAGTATTCAGGCGAAGGTAGCCTGCTTTAAGCACTCTAATTTGTTCAAAGTAAACGTACCGGCCCGACTCGACACTCAGTAAAGAGCACCGCGACGGGATATTAGTTGGGCCGCCCCTCGCGAGGCTAAGCCCACCGGTAGGACGTCCCACATCACGCCAGTTAAACACCGCGAGCGGTGAACCGACGGTGTGCGACACAGATTCAACTACGAGCTTTTTAACCGCAACAACTTTAATATACGCTATTGGAGCTGGAATTACCGCGGCTGCTGGCACCAGACTTGCCCTCCAATGGATCCTCGTTAAAGGATTTAAAGTGTACTCATTCCGATTACGGGGCCTCGGATGAGTCCCGTATCGTTATTTTTCGTCACTACCTCCCCGTGCCGGGAGTGGGTAATTTGCGCGCCTGCTGCCTTCCTTGGATGTGGTAGCCGTTTCTCAGGCTCCCTCTCCGGAATCGAACCCTGATTCCCCGTTACCCGTTACAACCATGGTAGGCGCAGAACCTACCATCGACAGTTGATAAGGCAGACATTTGAAAGATGCGTCGCCGGTGCTAGGACCGTGCGATCAGCACAAAGTTATTCAGAGTCACCAAAATAAACGGTGGACGAACGGCGAGCCGCCCGCCACCGATTGGTTTTGATCTAATAAAAGCGTCCCTTCCATCACTGGTCGGGACTCTGTTTTGCATGTATTAGCTCTAGAATTACCACAGTTATCCAAGTAAATGTGGGTACAATCTAATGAACCATAACTGATTTAATGAGCCATTCGCGGTTTCACCTTAATTCGGCATGCACTGAGACATGCATGGCTTAATCTTTGAGACAAGCATATGACTACTGGCAGGATCAACCAGGGAGCTTCGTGTTCGGTTACTCGCAAGGGAGTAACTCGCGAGCGAGCCCGAAGACTCGTCGCTAGCTCTTTTTCGCGCGCGCGCGCGTTCGATGCCGGAACACCGACGCGCGCGCGACATGCTCGTATGTGCCATTTTATTTGCCGCCGGTCTTGCTCAACCGGTCGGCGACACTCTGCTGTGTTTAACGCTATTATGTAAAGCGTACGAGAGAACGACGGAGGCGAGAGTAAACCCCCGACGCCGCCGCCTCTCTTCTTCCTCCTCCTCTCCGTTCAAAAATCCACAAGATCAAAATACTCGTGTTCTTATTCTCCCAAATGTTATGATGCGCGGTCTCGAGAGACCGCGCGATTCACCCTGACGCTAGATCGACGATGGCGATGCTTAGACGTCGAGGACTGTTCTGTCTGGTTCGTACGCGTTTAACCGCACACGACCAGCAATAAGATTTTGCTACGGCGTACAAAGCGAGCGGGAAGAAGCAACTCTTCCCGCAAACTCGTATCCGTGGAGTAGATGCTCGGTAAGCGCGACGATTCCGCTGCTGCGTACGAAACGAGAGGGAACCGCGCGGCCAACACACTAGAGGCGTGCGCGCCACATAAGAGCCATTCGGTCTTGCGACACCGACTCGTGGCAATGCTGTGCTCGTAATAAATAAGTGTGCGTTAATTTTGCGCGCGTTCGGCGACGAACGAGAAGAGCCGCACCGTAATCCCCGGCGAAGAGGAATACGAGACGACGCGAGAGTCGAACGTACGTTCTCGCGAGACACGCAACCTCCAAGCATGAGAAGACTTGGCGGCGGCGCGTTCTGCGACGATCGTATATTATTTTATATATTCGTGGTTTCCAAATCAAACATTTTATATAAATGTTCTCTCCGTGTCAGAGTCGCGACTCGACAAAATCCGTTCTCGATCCGTTTGGGCGATTCTTCGTTTGTCAACGTCGAGAGCGCGACACGTACAATATTAATCTCTCCTACCTCTTATAGTACCCAACCGACCGGCCAAGCGGTCGGCGACGGTACGGAGAGCGGTCGAAACACGCCGGAGTGGCGAGAGACTCGAGAAAGTACGTTTACGACTCGTCCGGACTCGCTCGACTCGTTCGACGCGCCGAGCGCGACGTATCTCTTATAGTACCCAACCGGCCGGCCAGGCGGTCGGCGACGCACGGTCCTACGCACGGCCGTATGCGAGCGCGAGCGTCGAAAGGCGCGTTCAATCGAGACATTGTCGCGGAGAGCGAACGATCGAAAAGTCCTATTGTACGATAAAATATTATCACGATAGCCGTATGGCGAATGTCAAACAACGATAATTAGCATTAATTAAGAAGGAAACAAACGAAATGCCGGGACAATAAGGTATAAGCACCGACGGTACCTCCGGGCCGGGCGGCACCTCCGGGTCGGGCGGCACCTCCGGGCCGGGCGACACCTCCGGGAACTACGGCCGACCGGCGACACCTCCGGGACGGGCGGCACCTCCGGACGACCGAATGATCTCTCGAAGTCAGACGACCGCCGGCGGTACCTCCGGAACACTTAACGACGATTTACGGCGCCGCAACGAGGAGAGCTACGTAAAAACGTTTCGGACGAAAGTTACTTACTATTCGGCGCTCGCTCGACATGAGGGCGCTGTCCGATTACTAACTCGAAACGTGTCTCAAACCCACGTGTCGGAGACATATATTTCGAATTATTACGGATGATACGCAACACGCAAGCTGCGGTGACCGCGATTACGGTACGGAACACTCGCCCGATGCGAAATCACGCGCGCGGCAACCGAGACGGCACGTTACGGGCGTGATTATACGTGCGGCACCACATAACGGCCGGCGTCAACTTGGGGACGGACGGCACCTCCGGGACGGGCGACACCTCCGGACGACCGAATGATTTTACCAAGTCCGTCGCCCGCCGGCGGTACCTCCGGGGCACTTGACGGCGAGTAGCGCCGCTACGAGGAGATAATACTACGATACGGAAATACGTTTCGGACAAAGGTTTCGTACTTTTCGACGCTCCGCACGACCGCGCAACACGATTATTACGATATCTGCTAATTTCCGGCTACCACTCGTCGGATGCACAATCTTCGAGATTCTACGACCGATACGTGGACGAATGCAGGCAGGATGCCGATAAGCGAAGCCGGAGTGTTTGCACGAATAAACTTTCCGATGCGTCCTCATTTAATTAATCTCATTTAGCTCGCTCGTTAGCGGTACAAGCGAGAACTCGGGAACAGGCGCAAGTTCGCTCGCGGCGCGTTGCTCTCGCCGGCAAGCGAGAAATTTTTCCAGGCCCGATAGCGGCGTGTTGCCTTGGTTAGCGGGCGACACCTCCGGCCGCAACCGTTGCCCGTACCAAAGTCCGATCGCGGCGTGTTGCTTTTGTAAGCGGGCGACACCTCCGGCGGCACGCGCCGCCCGTGCCCCAACTCCGATCGCGGCGTGTTGCTTTCGTTGGCGGGCGACACCTCCGGCGGCACGCGCCGCTTGTACCCCAAGTCCGATCGCGGCGTGTTGCATTCGTTGGCAGGCGACACCTCCGGCGGCACGCGCCGCCCGTACCCCAAGTCCGATCGCGGCGTGTTGCTTTTGTTGGCGGGCGACACCTCCGGCCGCACAAGCCGCTTTTTTCAAGTTTGC